CTGCGGGTTCTGAGAGGAAATAGGGAACCACTGGTGGACGATCTCGACGCAATTTACTTCCCGAATGGCTACTCATCCTCCGCCGCGGATGTTAGCTCAATGTCCTCCACAGTTGCTCTCCAACCCTCTGTTGTCTCCGGTGAGCAGGGAACAAATGATGATGATGATGAAGTGTCGCAGGTAACCTGGTCGGCCTCCTTCTGTATCGTACCCCTGACCGCTGCCTACATCGCAACCTTCACCTACGATGCGACCTATCAGTTTCTGAGTGCGGCTGGTAAACTTTCTTACGTGCCTCGCAGTCCAGCGCAACAGTTCAGTGAAGTACTGCTGATCCTTTTCACAGCTCTAGTGCCGTTGATCCTCTTTTTTCACATCCCCGCGATGCGATCGCTGATCTTCGTGGCAATTGCGTCTATACGAAAGCGGTGTAGCAATGGTCAGAAGGCGGGAATTGGGGAATCATACGTTTTGCAAGTAAAACCAGAGCAGGGCACAGAACCGGAGCGGTTGAGAGAGTGATTGTTGTCTTGGACAATTTTTTTGAAACTGTTAACAGTGCGCTCATTGAAACTAATTGCCAGGAGGGGGAATTTTTACCGATCAGCCGAGAGGAAATGAACCATGTTCAAGACGTGTCAGTCGACCCGGTCGATTTCTGTCGTGAGACCAATTCTGCCAAACAGAGCTTCTTAAATAAGCATCTTGGAACAAATATGGAATTGGATTAAGTCACCGTTTACTAAAACACGACTGGTTATTGCCATTTTTACCATTAAGTGCCCTATCGGAATCGAAACGAATCCCATATTATATAATATGACCGTTTTGTTGATTTTTGCGAATATGTCCTCCCCATCCACGTTGCCTGTGATAATTCACTATCTGCGGGCAGTTCATATGTGATTCTGTACAGAGCACGATGTCGCGCGCTAGAGTTAGTTTCTCCAATTCAAGACAGACAAAATAAGTTTGATGATTTTTTCCTCTTTACGCAGAGAGCACATATTCAAAACCCGGAATTAATCTTTCATTTTGCCAGTAAAATTAAAAACAACCCATGCTTACCAGACCGCTCGCCTGGTCCACTTTGATGTAATCAAAAGGCGCAACATTTGTAAAACACACGTTTTCATAGGATCGGAGAATAATGAAGTGACGATTAACAGCACTCAAAGGGAAAACTCCATACCAGATGTTCAAAATACTCTGTGATAAAATGTTTTCATTTCGGCGTGCGATGATGCGCTGTTGTATAAATTTTCTAAATATCGTGAAAATATATCCTATCGGGAGTCCTTTGTCTCCTTCACAATCAGAAGCAGATCCCATTTTTGCCTCGATTTGTAACCGAACTCGTTCTCGATGCATACTTTACGCAATGTTTTGACTTGCCACCTATAAGTTCATGCGCAAACCTAGAAACGCCAAAGGTGACTGAACATTCATCCCAGCATTAGCAACGGGTCTTATCAGTCTACGAGCAAGCATTATAGGGGGTACAGTAGCTGGAATATCACATAAAATGTTAGCCGGCATTTCGAAATACGCTTTCAATTAGAAAAGATTACTTAGGTGGGGTTGTAATATTCGTTACAATGCAGAGTAATCCAAAAATGTTTCAGTCGCATAAGAATATCGTCTTTTAAAAGAGCTTTTTTCGGCCGAGCAATTAATTGAACTCGATAAGAAGATTGGCTACATGACTGGTATGAGTTTTCCGCACCAGTTCTTAACTCTTTCGTAACTTCGGATATTTATCGTAAGAAAATTGCATAAAATAGCTTTTCGCATGTTAATTTGGCAACATATACAGTGGGTGGGCTAACTCATCAAATGAAAACCGAAATGCCGGAATGGTTTTTCGTTTCGAAAAGATTAATGAAGTAGGGTTGTAAAATTAATCACCGTAAAGCATAATTCTATAATAATTCAGTTACCTCAGGATGTCGACTTTCGGACGACCGTCTTCCCTGCTGCTTGCAAAAACCATACTCTGTAAAAAGGACTACCTATGTAGCGTACATTTTTCTCTTTAATTTTCGATGCCCTTTATTCATTAATTATATTTCATGGAAAACGCGCATAAAAATATTCATTCTTTACTAATTTGGTAGAAAATCACGTTTTTTTCCAATTTTACACTCGAAAGAAAGGTATAAATCGGTTTTAAAAAGTGTTTAATTGTGAGATTTTTTAAAACCGCAAAATGGCTGGTCATGAAACGTCATATATCTGCATTTACCAATGTGGATTGTGAAGTTAACAGTATTGCTAAAATCCACGGCTTAATCTTATGAACCCCATATGGTCTTTTCTCAATACTGCAGATAAATATATGGTTTTCCGTATGCGAAAAATATACAGTTTGTAGATTAGAAACCCTGAATACATTTGCAGCGGAAGTGGAAGTGTTTTTGAAAACTGAATTATGCCCTTACTTTAGGTGCAAAATTTGGTGAAAAAGTAATTTTCTTCTAAGTGAGTAAAAGCCTGAATATTGTATGCATCTTTTCCATGAAATATAATTGAATTTTTAAGGCCATCGAAAACCAATGATAATGATGCATGCTATATAAACAGTAATTTTTACAGAGTATAGTTTTCTGCATGCATCCGGAAAAGCCGGCATCCTGGGGTAAATGAATTAGTATCGAATTTTTCCTTACGATGATGAGTTTTACAAGCCTACTTAATTTATATTTTCGACACAAAAGGGCATTTCATAAATTAGGTTGACATTTCGTGAAGTAGCCCGGCTACTGCAAGTTTTGCCAAAAAGTTTTGCATGACGAAAGGGCATCTTTAGATTTTTATGAACTTTGACAGTTTCCGAATGATTTTGGATTCGACCTGCCGTTTCGTTTGCATTTGAGATTATCCTAGACAGTGGCATAATTGCAAACTTTTTAAGTCGATTAATACACTATCTTCAGGAATACTCGTTGTATAAGAAGCTATTTTCTATCAAATGAATATACAAGGGAAATTTTATATGCTTTTTCTATGAGACATATTTTCATAGTAAATAGCTGTACGTTTGTGAAGGCATCAAACGTCCGTGGGAAACGTTCACTCTGCTGAAGTACTCGTGATTTAGCGAGTGTCGGTTTGAAGCTGTCCAAAAAAGACTCCATCCAAAAGCCGACTTTCTGCCGTGACTGAAATGTCCTGGGATTAGAAGGCAGGACAATCAATACCATAACCGCACCTAATGAATAACTTAGTTTCGAGAAATAAAATTTAGAATTTCGATTGACATTTCTCGGGACAGGTCAGTCGAACACTATGATGCTGGCTTCTAGCTTGACAAGACTTGATTTGAATTGAATTGCACTGGTTTCTGGCACGCCAGTATGGCTCTCTGAACGTGTATTATGCCTACTTATTGTGTTGGACAACTATCATACTTATATTCCTCCTACTCTGTCAGCCAGGTGATGCAGGCATTAAATTTTCCAGGCGAGAAATTTGTTAGCGGAAAGCATGAACATTGTCGACCTGAC